TAATTTCAATCTTTTTTAAGAGTTTCTACAGTAATGCATACAAAAATATATTTTCTACGCGTAATATAAAACCATGTTTGCGTTCGGTTTGACGTCTATTAACTATGATTCGGTATRGTAGGAGACTTGAATGAATCGGTTTACCTCGCACACGAGACACATTTTGAGGCACAAAACCTAGTACTGCTTACGAAGATAAGTATTTTCTACGCGTAAAATAGGAAAGCCTTACCTCATTAATTCGAAGTCTTCGCAGTGCAACTGAGTTAAAAATTTGAATCTGCGCCTTATACGAAGACCATTTAAATTCCAACGAGATGTTCAGACAATAAGCCAGTTGATAGTTTAAGAATCTTTTTCAGTGCGCATGCGATTTTATCCCGGATTTCTCACCTTCTTTTGTCGAAAATTTCTTTTGTTCTTAATTAAACAAAATAAGATGAAACTCGGGATAAATCGCATGCACACTGGTACATGCACTAGCTCATGCACTATACTTTTTAAGTTCAGTCTTTTTAAGAGTTTATCTAAACTAATGCTTACGAAAATAACCACTTTCTATGCGTAAATATAAGCATCTCTTACCTCATTCAGAGTTTTCGCTGCAACTGAGGCAATAATTTAAATTCTGCACCTTAGTTTAAGAATCGTTTTCAGTGCGCATGCGATTTTATCCCGAATTTCTCACCTTCTTTTGTCGAAACCTTCTTTTGTTCTTATTGAAACAAAAGAAGTTGGAAACTTGGGATAAAAGCGCATGCACACTGAAACGATTCTTAAACTATGGACTGGTTTATGGGGAGGGGTGTTGCACACAAACGTTTTTCACAATGTTCATAGACAATAAGAGTAGGCCTGTGAGAGTGCCTACTTCGAAATAAATGGCATATAAAATTTATTCCTTCCTTCCTTCCTTCCTTCCTTCCTTCCTTCCCATATTTCAACAGCGACATAAATGCGCTTGGCCTTGGTCTTAAACTCTTTGAGATTAAAGATCTGTCTTATTGCTGGGAAAAGTTTGCTAGTTTTATTGCTTATGAAGATGACAAACTTTTTAACTGCTACTACCATCCTTAGGGTTAACCCTTTATTTTAGTATAGAAATACGGCTTGTGCCTTTATTTGTAATTACCAAGTAAAACTAAAATAGATAGTGTTTGAATTGAGTATTTGAAGCTGTTCAGTGGTCATCAACTCAAACATTGTGTTTGTGAGGTCTATAACCACTTGGCCATTCCTATATAGGGCTTTTAAACTTTGACACTACTCCTGCTTGATTTGAAATACTAATATATATAATATATCCCTATAGGTGATCCTCCATGATGGTTTGAAGATTTGTTTATCAAAATGAAACACAATACGGCAGAAGCAGTAAAGTTTGGCTCAAATGCCTATGCCATTATCTGGTAAGAAATACCGGGGGGGGGGGGTACTCCCCTATATTTGCTATACGGGTATGTGCCGCCCTATAGGGTATGGTTTTTCGGCTTTTGGGTCTGGGGTAGGGTATCATTTTTTGACATTCTGTCTGGGATAGRGTMTYAKTTTWGTCTGGGATAGGGTTAWGATTTGGTCGTTTTTGTCTGGCGAATAGGCTACGCTTTCTGCCGGCACAAAAACAATAAAAACGTTAGTAAATATTGATTGCAATCTATTGAATAACCGTCTTTTAGTCTGGGATAGGGTGTACAATTCTTAGTTTTAGTCTAAAGTAGGGTTTGTAAAATCAAAATTTTAGGTCTGGGATAGGGTCAGGGTTTTTAGATCCTGGCGGCACACCCCTACCCAAGTTGGGGTGGTAGTACCCCCCACCCCGGGTAAGAAATGCTCACATATAACACTAAGCTATACAAACGCAAATATAAGGTTTCTTTATTTCCTTATAAATTTCTATTTTAATGTTTCCTGTGGGGGGTTTTTTTTTTTTTTCATCCTTTGAGGGTACGGTTTCCGTCTAGACAGAGGAATTAATGGATACAGATAGCTGAATGAATGGAAAAAAACATTGGGCAGAATGATATTGTTCTCAGAGTGCCATATACTTACAGATGCTAAAATTGTATTTATTGAAATAATTGTAATGTATGGTTGATAATGATGATTTGATTAATTCACAATCTTACTTTGGCAACTAAGATTTTATGGAAACACAATTTGGCAGCAATCAATCAAACTTTGTAACAAATGCAGTGAACATACTAATGGCAAGAAAGAGATAATTTTAGACATTACTTCAACTCATGATATAATTTGATAAGACCCAATTTATTTATATTAACTAGTACTAGTGATTATTACTTGAATAAGGCCTGTTAATAATCTTTATTTTACTTGTTACCAATATACTAGAATTATTCAACAATAACACTGTTGATTCTAGTAATTATTTAAACTAGAATGAATTCATACTCGAATAAGTACCAAAAGTGTCTCATGCGAAACGTTCTTTATCTTCATAATTTTCTTTGTTTTCGATGATGATGTGATAATGTTGTCTTTATTCTAAAAACGTCCAATTTATTTTACTTGTTACAAATTACATATGAACAATCCAAATAACAATCATCATTACAGTGATTCTTAGTACTAATAAGAGTAGACTCGTACCCGTACGGCATTTCATGGTTTATTTGTTGCCAAGAAACTATAAACAATCCAAATAA